GCTCCCGCCGCAAGATGCTCGACGATCGCAGCGAGTCGAAGTTGACCGGCAGCTCGAACCATGACAGCTTCACGTAGTCTCCCTTGCCCCTGCACGTCTCGGCCGGAAGCCTCGGGCGATCTCCGTCGGGAGGGTCCCCGTTGGGAAGGAACTTGTCAAGTCTCTTGGAGGACTGCGGCGAAGCTTGCGAGGGTCCGGGGTAGACGGCTGAGCTGCTCCCGTTGAGCTTCTCGTGTTTCGGGGTTTCTGAATGGATCGGCATCGAGTGAACTTTCTGCATCCTCCCCATCTTCTTCTTGGCTGTCAGCTGAGACAAGCTCTGGAGCTTGACCTCCTCTCGCTCCTCCTGCTTGCCCTTCCCTACCACGATGATGTCTGACCCCAGCATCGTCCCCACCTGCGACTGCCCCTCCTCTCCTCGTTGCCCTCCCCCGTTCGCTCCTCCATGCGGCCGCTTGGGCCCTTCGCTCCCGTGCCTCTCCATCCGAGACATCTTCTCCTCTATCCTTCTCAAGGTGTCGTCGTGCCGCGACATGGACGACTGTATCTTCTCCACGGCGTCGGTGAGTCGGAGGATGTGAAGGTCCTGGGGTCTACCTGGGGAAGGATCCGAGACGATCTTGCTCAGAGTAGATTCCATTCTTTGAATGCAAACGTGAATCTCCTCCAGATTCGCATACTTCGTCTCTGGCAAAGAGTTTGCAATTGTCACAGTCGACTTCCAGTGCGAGAAAGCGTTGTGAACAGGAGAGTTGAAGAGCTTCTTCAAGATCTCCCTCTTCGACTTCCGTGGAGTCTGTTTCTTCGACTTGAAGATCGGGTTGTCTATCTTGTCCACTGAGAATAGCAGCGACTTGATTGCAAACAGGACGTCGTAGTTGAACTCCTGCGCCTCGTTCTTGATCGCCGTAGCAACCTTCGCCTTCCGTTAGCCCCTTCTTCTCACCTCCCCTCCTTCTCCCCGTCCCCTCCCCTCTCCCCCTCTCCTCTCCCTCCCCTCCCTCTACCTTGCGATGCACATAGTTCGACATCTGCGTCAGGATCATCGTCTCGAACTCTTCTGGCCCCAGCTCCTCCTGCGAGTTCAGCAGCTTCCGGGAGTCCGTGATCGCGTCCCAATCCTCCTCCGTCAGCGTCACGGGAGGGCTCAGCTTGAGCTTCTGATGTACCCGCCTGTCAGCGTCTACCTCCTCCTCCTCCTCCTCCTCCTCCTCCTCTTCCGTTCCTCTACGTCCTTCGCTCCTTCTACTCTGCTTTACCTTGAGCCCGAAGTTGAGCTCCTCGAGGTTGACTGACCCGGACTCGTCCAGGTCCATCTTCTGCTCCCACACGTGTGAGTCCGCGAGCCCACAAGACGCTCGAGAGCTTTTGAGCGACCTGATAGAGCTGGAAGATCTTCAACGACAGCTCCTCCAGCGTCGAGAAGTCCATCAGGCTTGTCACCAGTGGGTCCAGCGGGCCTCTTGCGTGAAACTCCCTCACGAGTCCGATCTGTACAGCACAGCAAGTCTCAGTCTCTCCTATTCCCTTCATGTAGGGCGATCATGTCTCACGAGGGTCTCCTCGTTCCTGGCCTTCTTCTCGCTGCGCTCTCGCTCGACCGTCGAGATGAACTCGTCCAGCAGTACAGCCACCACGATGTTCATCAGCACCTGGGCTCTCTTGCTCACTCCTCGCCATGGTCTCTAGTCTTTTCTCCTCACCACGTTGACGATGAGCATGTAGACCACAAAGTACATCGCCGTCTGTCCGCACAAAAGCTTAGCTCCCTCCCTTCCCTTCTCCCCGACCTCCACTTGCCCAGAAGTTGGAGTGTTCATCTTCAGTAAACAGCGACCGCGTCACTGCAGACGCCCAGGAGTCTCCCGTTGCCATTTGAAAGAGGGTGAACATCGACTTCAAAAAGTTCCCGAAGAAGTCCTCGCTCCTCCCAGCAAACACGTTCGTCCCGATGATCGCGAAGATCGACGTGAAGATAAGCAAGATGCAGAACGCGTTCAGCACAGGAATGACTGCGTCCCCTCGTCAGCTCTCTCCTCTCATGCCCGCCTGCTCCCTTCCTACCCGAAGACGACAGGGCGTTGATCAGCACGCGGAACGAGTTGAGCATCCTGTCCCGCCGCATTCCAAGTCAGTCGCTATCCTCGTCCCTCTTGTCACATCTGCGCCCCTACCTACGCCCGTCTCTTCCCCCATCTCCCTCCCTCTCTCTCCCTCTCTTGCTCTCTCCCTCGCATTGCTCCTGCTACTCTATCTCTCCCCACCTGAACACTCGTATCATCTTGAAGATACGAATCAGACGTAGCGCGCTCAGCCCAGGCACCCCTTGGATGATCTCCGAAAGAACAGTTATCATCACGACCACGAAGTCTGCATCCCCATGCGCGTCGCCCCTACAATGTCAGATGACTCCCCAGACCCTCGTCCCTCCTCACCGAGGATGTTCCACCCGTCCGATACGAACGGCCAGTACCAGTTGCTCAGCACGTTGACTACCAGCTCCTACCTCCCTCGTCAGCGACCCCTCGCTTCACCTGCTGTACGTACAAATGCGAAGATGCACGTGTAGGTTATTTCCAAGGCTCTGAACGCTCTCGCTTGTTGCGAGCCGTCTGGAGGCTGCAGCTGCGCCGACAGGATGGCGCAAATGAAAGACGCCATGATCACAGCCGAGAAGAAGAGCTGACTTGCTGTGCTCGAGTAGATTCTTCTCAGCTGCCTCTGTCGCCTCTCTAGCTTCGTTTCTCCTTGCCGTAGCTTTTCCTTGAGATAGACTTTGACAGCTTGGTGGATAGCTGTGATCTGTTCAAACACACACCTTTAGCTCCTCTCCACCATCATGCTCCATACCCAAGTGTCTCGCTCATCCTTGCTCGATGCCAGCAGCACTGTCGACTTGCCCGAGTTGTGTCCCTCGGGTATGGTCGTGATGATGAAGATCTTCTCGTCCAGCTCGTCCTGTGCTCATGATCAAACAGCGGACGTAGAGAGAGGCTCTCGCGGCAGACTCACGTCGTCTATCCTCAGAGTTGTCGATCGCTTGATGCTGGCCCTCTTCTCTCCTTGGTTATGGGACTTGTCTTCTGTTTGTTCTGATGGAGCTGTCTTGGACACGACGGCCATGACCTCATCCAGCGGTATGTAGTCAATCACGTCCATCGCTCCGACTTTTCCGAGCAGAAGCTTGTCCTTGCTCAGACAAACTTTCCTGCGCTGCCATGTGTCTCCGATGGTGCTGTCGCGGCATTGCACAGTCACGGGATTGAAAGGGAGAGGAGGACAAGAATACCTGAGGACTTGCCGGTGAAGCTCTGCGATGAGGATGCTGTCTTCTTCGGAAGGAAACTGAATGGTAGGGATGGAAGCCGCTTTCTTCCCCCTTATTCGTCCCTTCCGGGTAGCCACATACACAGCTGCCATGGTTCCTCCAACGTTTCCAGTCCGTTTGCTGGATGTGAGTGCGGACAAGAGTTGGAAAGGGTTTCTGCCGCAGCAACACAGATGAGATCAGCGTTCTACTCTGACGGTAGCAATGTGCTGACGGGATCGAACGTCTTGCTGCTGCCTTCACTGTTCCCCTCTCCCTGCCCTCCCCTCTTCATCTGCCCCCGTCCATCAGCTCCTTCACAGGGCACTGCATTGCCTGGGCGGGTGTAGGGCGGAGGTAAATTCGAGTCATGTTGCACGGGGGGTGGGGGTACTAGCAAGTTGAAGATTCTTCACAGAGGGTGGGGTACTTTTTTGGTCAAAGGGTAGGGTACAATGTTGTGGCGTAACTGAAACAAGGTTGACAAAAAAACACCTGCAGTGCCGAGGTACCCCCCTACCCCTTCAGAGACTATCAAATCATCCGGTCCATGTGCTTTACTCAAAGTTAAGTTAAATATCAGTACGATCTCATCTCCTTATCGTCCTCGTACTTATTTTTAACTTAACTTTGAGTAAAGCGGCGACAATCTGTCATACCGTCACGGATGATCTTTACTCAAATCCCGGCGTTGCCCCGGGCCCCGGGGCCGCACTGCCGGGTGACCGCAGAGTGCGGCGCCGTGCCTGTGGCTAGCCACGCATCCGGGTCAATATGATCACTTGAGTAAAAACTGATCCCTAGTCGGGAGTCAAAGTTGTGGCCCCACCCCCTCCCTCGGTACCAAATTTGCAATCTGCAGTACGGGTGGTGTCCCGAATGTTTCCGAGAGAGGGGGTAGGGGTATTTACAAAGGGGTATTTTCAACGCCAAAATCTGGAAAACTGGAGGGTACTAGATCATCTGTCGGGGTGGGTGTAGGGGGCAGCAATCGGACCGACTCGGTTCTTGACGAGGGTGGGGTGGGTGTGACTTTTGGGTACAGGTCTTGCAGGGAGGGGTGATCACAATCTTGGACTTGGGGTAGGGTAGAGGACGGATTTGGCGGGTGGTGGTGGTAGGACAATTGAGGGCATATATGAACCAGAGTACCCCTACTTTTACGACAAATATGGATCAAAAGATAAGGTGGGTACTTGGTTTGGGTTCACTGAGTTCGTTTCCGAAAATCAGAGAGGCATTGGTGGGGTGGTATCGGTAGGATGGGGTGGGAAAAGGAGGGGTGGTTGCTATGGGGATGTGTCTATTCGAGGACCCGGGCAAAGTACGGTCAACGCTCTGATCTAGGGTGGGGTGGTGGATTTTTTTTCATTTGTAAACATCTACAGGGGTGGGTTCCACAAAGTCACTCCTGGAGCAGGGTGGGGTACTAGTAGAGACCGGTAGGGGTATATTCAAAACCCCCCTTTTGCATTGAAGAAGTTGGGGTGATGGCAATTTTTCTCCGGTACAGGGTGGGTACAAGTAAAGTAAAATGGGATGTTTGTGGGTGGGGTAGGACGACTTGGGTATGTGATCAGTGGTAGGTGGTGAGGTACACATTAGGTGGGTCCAACAGGGGGTGGTAAAAAGGGGGGTACAAGAAGTGGCCAAAGGCATGGCAGAACTCGGTCCAACAACATGCACCTCAGGGAATGAGAAGAAGCGGATGATGAGAGGAAGAGAGTCAGATGAAAATGCATGGAGAAAGACAATGGCATGGTAGATAGGGAGGATAGGAGCAGGTATGAGTTCCATCAGTTCACAATGTTGCATTGCGCGTTGTACTTCCAGGACTTGTAGTCTTGTCTGCGTCTCCTTGATTTCCATGCAATCATGGTTTCTCCTCGCAGAATTTGCGCAACACATCATTGAAGTGCATAATTTCCTCAATTTTCATACTTACATATACCTCATTTTTTGCTCCTTGCGCCTATGTAGTTCTTGTGAAAGAAGCGGATTCAGCTTTTTTGGTTTGCAAGTGCGAGGATAGTATGCTGATGAAGAGGCGCTGATGGTGGCTGTGCAGGCGATCCAGAATGGAGTACGTTATTGCTGAAGAATATCACGCACCCAACAACGGCAGGGCCGCATCCAGCATGGAGTACTACTCGCCCAAGGGAAAGGCGGCGTCGCATCTGGAGTACTACTCGAACAAGGGAAGGACGACTTCGAGCATGGAGTACTTTTCGCCAAAGGAGTTGGACCATCCCTACAATGGAAGGCCAGCTTCTGGTTCCAGCACCTACAGCTTTCCGGAGCTTCCGCTGAAACCTCAAGATCTCCCCAAACCTGTGATCCCACGTCCGGTGGTGGGCCATGGTAGCAAGAATGTTTGCCTTGCCATCTCTCTAATCTCATTTCCAGGTCTTGTGATCAACTCCAGGTTGGCTTCTTCCTACCAGCCAAACTACGAAGGGAAGAGCTCTGGCCGAACTCTGTCGCTTCCTGGTGCGTAGCACATCTTGAAAGCAGCGAGAGTTGATTCGTGCTGCTCCCCTGCAGCCTACACGGGCTCCAACACCTCCAGCCTCCCATCCATGCACTCCAGTGCTTCGACAGTCTTTGCAGATGCAGAACAGGATGGTTCTTTTAGCGAGAGCGAAACCCGCTCTCCGAAGCGAGACGAGGAGGTCCGCGCCGGTGACGTGACTGGAAGTCAATCGGATACGAACGCTGAGAAGATGCTTGCGCAGGTGTGGGGCTCTTGATTCATGAGAAAGTCGACAAGAGCACTGGTAGATGCCCTCGTCTCCCCTCGTCCCCCCTGCTCCTCCTCTCCTCGTCTCATCGCGCTCGGCAGGGTTGGTCTGCAGACTCGTGCAGGATGTCCTACCGGACAGGTGAGATGACTTTCGCTTGTTTCCTCCGCTGGCACTGACAAGACGGAACTCGCAGCGATGCAGCGAAGAATGGCGTGCGTGTTGGGGACGAGCTCATAGCAGGTGCTGTACTTGTCGCGCATTTTGAGGACGGAGAGTCACGTACAGAGCAGTGGACTGTAAACGGTGCGGGAGCAAGTCAATGAAAGAGATCCAAAGCATGATCGTTGGGCCCCAAGGATCGACCGTGCGGATTGATTTGAAGAGGCTCTCTGGGCGATTCAAAGGTAGGAGTAGGGGGTCAAGAGGATTTGAAAGATGATGGAGATTGTGATGATGTGATATCGTGATTCAGTTGATGATCGCGATAGCGATGGTGATTTTGATTGTAATGGTGGTGGTGACGATGATGATGAAGGAGGTGGGGGAGGACGAGGAAGAGGTTGAGGAGGTGTTTGGGATGTTGATGTTGATGTTGATGATGCTCTTGTTTGTGTTGGTTGTTATTGATGACGACGCAGGGATTGTCTATTTTGTGGACTTGGTACGGAGGCCTCTGGTCGGTGTCAGCCATAGAAGCACACAAGCTACAGTCAAGGAGCTTCACGACTTGACGCCTGAGCAACAGGCGGTCCTTGTGACGGTTCACCTTTGCACCATCTCGTGATTTGTGACAAGTTTTCATCTCCGAATTTTTATCACGAAGTTGTGCAATGTTGTTTTTGAGGAGCAATGAAGGAGTCAAGCTTACTTTACTCCATCCTGTCCTCCCTCACTCTCAACGTTTCTCCCCCCCTTCCTCCTCCCCTTCTCCTCCTCTTCCTTCCTTGCTCAATCCGTGTGTGCCCCTCCCTCCAGTTGCCCGAAGCTCATCGGAGCAGCAAGTCACCGACGGCTGTTGCGACTCTGTGCAGTTTTAAGTTCTTCCCACTGTCTCTGTAAGCATCGCCGCATACCTCAACCCATCCACTGCCGAGCTCACAATCCCTCCTGCGTACCCTGCGCCCTCCCCACAAGGAAACAGCCCCTGCAGAGTTTCTCAGGAGGGAGGAAGCACGCAAGGGGCATGGATGATGATGACGATGTGCGCATGGAAGGAGCAGCGAGGAGGAATGGAGGAGGATGGAGAAAGACGATGACGAGGATGGGGATGAGGGTGAGGACAAAGAGACCTCGATGCCAACGCACTGCAAGGTTTCATCAGATCGTGTGATCCTCACAGCACTGGAGGTTCTGGTCTCAACGCCATGCAGGAGAGCCTCTGGCGTGATGAATCCCGGGAGCCTGCCATGGGATTCTTGAGCGAGACAGGATGAGGAGGAGGATGAGACAGGAGGAGGAGGAGGAGGAGAGGCAGGAGGAGGAAAAGGAGGGATCAAGAGAGATCGGAGGAGGAGGGGCTACGAGACAGGAGGAGGAGGAGCAAGGCTGATGGCGATGGCGGGGCAAGTGAGAAGGCAGGACGAGCAAGGCCATGAGGAGCGAGAGGAAGGGAGCAATGCCTGGGCAGCATGAACACGGAGAGGGAAAGAGGATACAGAGGAGTGCGAGGTACAAGAGATTGGAGTCAAGAGAAGTGAAAGTATTATACCTCCTGTCAAACTCAACAAGGGCCCGCGTAATCGCGTCTGATATCGGCTGAGGATAGAGGTCGTGCAGAGCTGCAGGTTTCGTGCCGAGCCTGTAGCTCGACTAGATGCATGTCAGTACCTCCTGCTCCTGCTGCTCCTCCTGCCCGTCCTCTCCATTCTTCTTTATCCTTCTCCTTCTCCAACTCCTACATCCTCAAGCTCCTGCCTCCTCCTCCCTACTCGTTTCTAGGCTACTTCCACCTTCTCTGTCTCGTTCCTTCCGTCCCTCTCCCCGTCCTCTCGTCCTTCACCTGCGGAAAGCCGGCTTCGGCCCTGCTTGCTCTTGCTTCGAGAAAGTCTGTCACTCTCTGGACTGGGCAGACTAGGTCTCCTCCTCCTCTGATCGCCGCCTCTCGCTCCATGCTCCGCTGGAAGGTCAGACCGCCGAGCGCTGCCTGCCCGTGAGGCTCTCTTGCTGCCAGATCTGAGAGATTGATGAGAAGAGAATGAGGGAGGGAGGGAGGGAGGGAGAGGGAGGGAGGGAGGGAGGGAGGGAGGGAGGGAGGGACGAGGGTTCGAAGAGTTGGGAAATGAATCTGACCTGAGAAGGAGCGCATGAACTCTTCGTTCATGTCTACCGAGGCTACAAGTGCTGAGTTCGCCCATTGGGACTGGATGAAATTGCGACCTCATTTCGTGGAGGGGATGGAGGGGGGGAGGGAGGGCGGGAGGAGGGAACAGTGGAGAAGAGACAGAGGAAAGGTGAGGAGGGGAGAGGGGAGAGGAGGGTGGGGGAGTAGAAGACTGAAAGAGGAAGGAACATCCAGCTCACTTGTCTCCTTGAGAAGGACATGCCGTTCACGCAGAGCTCCTCCGGGTTTACGCTCGTGCATACGATCTCGACGCTCAAGTCACAACTACAAGGAGGATGGAGGAGGAGGAAGGAGGCGAAGGATGGCGAGGAGTGATGGGAGGAATGGCAGGAGGTGAGAGAGAAACAAGAGCAGGACGAGGATGGGGGAGGAGGGAGGGAGGGAGGGAGGGAGGGCGGGAGGGCGGGAGGGCGGGAGGGAGGGAGGGAGGGAGGGAGGGCAGGAGGGAGGGAGGGAGGAAGCAGAAGCTTACCTTGATATCTTTGACGATGGTGCCGAACTTGAAGACAACATTGTTTGATTCTAGGAAATTTCTCATGGTCTTGAGAATCCTGACGGGAAGGAGAATTACAGGATGAAACGAAACAAGACAATCAACGGAAACTCCATCATACAAGACAATGAATGTGTCACTTCAATCTCACTTTATCTTGATGTCATTTGATATCAAAAGGATAGAAGGACATGGAATTCATTCACTGATCGGGACCAAACGAGCAGAAGGAGATACAAGCATCCTCTATGACATTGTAGAATCAAAATAATCAAGATCATAGCAGAGAAAGATCAAATCTATCATGTCAACAAACAGACAAAAACCCTTGTATCATGTTCGCAACAGATAGCACGAGGTCGCTTCCTATCTTCGCTTCGTTTCATCTCTTACCGCACAAGTCTGTCCGTGCCTAGATGTGGCTTCCCGTCCACCAAGATGCTGTCAGGGGCTCCGAAGCGAACGAGCTGCTTCAACACCCACCGCACGTCCTCACTGTTCCTTCCTGCAATGAGAGCAGAGGACGGGAGAGGAGGAGAAAAAGGGAGGGGAGTGGAGAGGAGAGGAGAGGAGAGGAGAGGAGGGGAGGGCAGGGGAGGAGTAGAGAAGACAAGAGACGAGGGGAGGGGAGGGGAGGGGAGATGAAAGATGAGAAAAAGGCAAGACAAAGAAATTATCGACCAAAATCAGCACCAAACACGCTAAGATAAACAACAAGTTTCCAACCCGCCAAAGACGCGTGTGCCCCCCCCCCCCCTGGGTGTTTTTTTTTTTATTTATATATATGTATTTTTATGTATTTTGGGGTGTTTTATTTTTTTTTTTTTTTTTTTTTTTTTTTTTTTTTTTGTGTTTGTATATGTAGAAAATTGAGTTTGCCTT